TCGAATATACGCCGAAATTTGTAATAATATTTTACAACAAATGAAGTCTCGATTTCAAAACTTTAACGAATTAAAATTTGTTAAATTGTGCAATTTTAATATAAGTAACTACGATTCATTAAAATTTTCATCGGAAGCTTTTAATTCACTATAATTAAATAATGGATTTTTTTTTGATATTCCAGCATTAAAGTTTCAATTAAGTGTTGTTTATGAAACAACTGAAATTAGTGATAAAAAGACGCTAATCAATGTGTTAAATTTTCTTATAACTCGTTTAAATAAGTTTCTTTGTGAAGTCGTCACGTTGTGTGAATTAGTACTAATCATCCTAGCCACAAGTGCGTCAGTTGAGCGAAGTTTTTCAGCTTTAAAGCGCATTAAAAGTTTTATACGAAATTCAACAAGTGAAGACAGCTTCTCTAATTTAGCCCTAATATTCATTGAAAAACAGCTTGTTAAACAGTTATCAGAAAATCCAAAATTTTACAATGATATGCGAATAGATCTTTAGTATAAATAAATGTCAACTGCTGTGTCAACTGTGCGAAAAATGCTGGAAAAATTAAAAAAAACTCCAGTTAAATGTTTTTTTCATGTTTAAATAAACCAAGAAAGCTTTTCGATGGTAAGTTTTTTATAGCTTCTAGTACTAAACTAGGTAATAAAGTAAAAGTAACACTTCAAACCTCTCAATCTCGAATATCCGTAGTACTGAGGAAGAAAAAGCAAGATTTTGACAGAATGGTGAATGCGTCGAGAAAAATTTTCGCCTGCGGCTCTGTGCTTACTGGCCTGCTGCATTTTTATACAATCGCTTCCCCTTCCAAAAATGTCACGGCACGCCACTGCATAACTTGAATCTCTGCCATTGTCGGTCGTGACCAAATTGAAGAACTTTTTTCTACGATCATTATCCAAAGTAGGCTTTTGCACATTCAAATCTATCTGGAAAGTTGACGTTTTCCATGAATTGTCATATTTTGACATTATTGCTGCATATAGGCGGAAAGTTACTTTTTGCACATGCCTATTTTCATTAGAAAATTTTATTAGAAAGGTTGTTATTATAAAGCTAATTGGTATTTTAAAAGAAAATGTAGACTTATCTGAATTATTTACTCAAACTCATTTTCCTTAATATTTAAATGATAATTAAAATATCAAAAATAAATTACCGTGTTTTTAACACTCATGGTGACATATTATTTTAGTGTTGCAAAATTAGAGGTTTGATATATGTTTTAAATAAAAGTACAGCTATACATATATCTATTAATTAAACAAAATGCGTATTATAGACAAAATTCGAAAATATGGCCCTTCCAAGTCGGAACTATTTTTTATTGCGGATGTTGAAAAGTTCTTATTTTGACAGAAGTGTAGTAATTTTAATTCGCAGTTGCTCTTTATTTGTGGCTATCAAGATTTTGAATTTAAAAAAAGTTGTAAAGATGAATATCGAAGATATTTTTAATGATTTTGGACGACATCGAAGTGATTTGAGTGTCTTACAAAAACTTCAAGAATATCGCCAGATATGTGGGAGCCTATACGGTGTTCTCTATTCGATCTTGAAGACGCTTTTGTAAGTTAATTAAAATAAATTTGAGTCATATTTTTTATTGTCGAGTTTCTAGTGTTTTAAATGGATCTTTTTTTAAAAAATGCATTTTTTAATAAGGAACATTATGGTATTGACATATTTCTGGGCCTGTCTCGTGCCACCAAGAGTAGCATTTAGATTGTTAAACAAAAGACCAACAACAGTGTGTTAAATGTATCGATTTATTCCAGATGTTGCATCTTAAAAACTTTTAAATGTACCACAACTATTTCTACTAGGTGGTATTAATAATCTTGTGCAAATTGATGAAAGTGTAATTGTACCGCCAGTTTGGATGTTGGGAATGGTAGATACTGCTACAAACAGAGGTGTTGTGATTTATTTAATAGGTCGGTCAAGAAAATTAATTTTAAAAACATTTTGTTATTGTCAGAAAAGCCAATGGCGTGCCTCTAACTGTCTGTAATATTTAAGACTATGTTAATTGGGTTGCTACTGATTAAAATCAAAATACACTTTTTTTGTGGAATATCTATTCTTCAGTAACCATTTAGTGACGAGAGGATGTTAATGATTTCCTTAGAAGACTATTCTTTTTAAAAAATTAACTATTTATTTATTTATTTAATACACTGTTCAATAGGAAACCTAATTAAAGAACAGGATTACAATAAAAAACTATTCACAATCTGAACAACACAATTCAAAAGTAGGTTACAATAAGAACAAGAGTTACAAGCTAATATAAGAGAAAATGATTCTTAATTTTACTTACAGTACAATTAAAGATGTCTAAATTACTGCACATTTTGTTTTGTACATTCACGCATTACATAAATGGGAGAGCTTCTTATTACATTTGTTCTAGTAGTAAGGTGCTGTTTGTAACAAAACTGCTCTAGAAATAAATTCTGTAGGGGACTAAGTGTTACAAGCTGAATTGTTAGGGAATTGAAAACTAATATTTTGGAGATTCTAAAACCGGAGGTAATCCAAAATTAGACCTTGCAGAAGGGCACTATTTTCAAAAAACGAGATATTGGTACCATTGCATAGAGCGTAACGTGTACTACAATATGACCGCAAAATCCAAAAAGTCACTTTACAAGTTAGGTAAATTTTAAACATTTAAAAAACCATTGGGGCTTACGGCCCAAAAAAATTTAAAATGCAATTTCCTCGGTTTTATCTTAAGAAAAAATTGCGAAAAATATTGTACTTTTTATGTTAACACTGCGAAATTAGCTAAACAAGATTTTAAAACAAAAAAAGTTACTCTTTATAAAAGTTTCTAAAATGTGTTTTGTTCATAACAAAACATCAACCATATTTTTAGCTCCTATAATAATCAACTTAGGTATAACATTATACAAGGTGTCCCAAATTATATAAAATGGAGATAATTTTAAGCAAAATGGTTCATATTAACAATGGTCCGATTTCCATCAGTAGCAAAGTTACTGGTGGTTTAAAACTGATAGGAATGATACATTTTTACCTGCACGCCACTTGTCAAATATTTTCTTGATTTTTTAATTAGTTATCTAACTTTTACATGTCTTCACTTTTGATCGAATTTTAATTAATGTTTGGGTGTTACGTGTTAATATGAACTTTTTTACTTACTTACTTAACAGTTTTAAAAATCGTCTTTGGAGTTGTTCTAAGTTGTTAATATGAAGTTGGTAAAATGGATTTCAAACTATAGATGCATACTCAAGTTTTGACTTTACGAATGCATAGTAAAGGGTGGTGAGTGTAGACAGATTATTTAAGTCTCGACTAGCCCGTACAATAAATCCGTAAAGGCAAGACTCAGCGGATATAATAGTATTTATATGCAGACCAAAAGATAATTCTCTATTAAACGTAACACCTAAATCTGTAATAGTAGTTGGTCTTTCGAGAATTGTGTTGTTAATGATGTAATCAAATAATATAGGATAAGCGCTAAGACCATATGACATGACAAAACATTACGCGGCATTAAGCAATAAATTGTTTTTCAAACACCAGTATTCAATTCTATGAATATTATCTTAAAGGCGTTCGCAGTCGGATCTGTGAGCAATGTATAAAAACAATTTTAGATCGTCGGCATATAACATACAATTAACATAAATTATATCAGTGATATCGTTAATAAATAATATAAATAATAGAGGGCCCAGGTTCGAACCCTGTGGCACTCCTGTTTTTACTAAACTGATTTGAAGCCATTTATATGCACATACTATTTAGGGCTTTAAATATAAGATGCAAATAGTCTTAGGAGAGAATAATGAAATCCAAATAATTTAAATTTAGTGAGCAAGGTTCCGTGATCCAATGTTTTAAACGCCTTGGTAAAATCTGTGTATACGACGTCAATATTCTTGGTAATGATTTGTGTTACGTTAACAAGATTAGTTAGCGTTGAAAGTTGTTGTACAACACTATGTTGATGCGATGAAATTTGACCGCTGACGTGCAAATTAATATCGCGATACAATAAAACCTCAAATACCTCAAAAAGTTACAAATTACAGATATTGGTCTATAATTGGTTACATCATTCCTATCTCCCTTTTTGAATATAGGACACACTTTCTATATCTTCCACACATCTGGAACGGTAGATTTCTTAAGACATATATTTAACAACACCATTAAAGGATAAGCAAGGGAATTTGCACGGTCTTTAATTAGAAAAGCCGGAATATCATCGGGATCTCTAGTTTTCTTTGCTTTTACTTTCTTTAAAGCATACAGTACGTTTTTTTTCACTGAAACTATTAATAGAAAGACAAGTCTATTGTTGCGTATCATCAGCTGTAAAATATGGATCCGACTACTGCATGAACGATTGTTAAAAGTGTTCGACAAAACCATTTACAATAGAATTAGGATTATTTCACAAAAGCCCAGAAACTAGAAGGATTCGTGGTAATATTTGATTCTGAAGACTTAACAAATTACGTTTTTATTGAAATAACACATTTAACAAAAACAAGATAAGTACTAATTAACAACAATCAATTTGCTTAAAAATAAATGGGATTTCAAAAATGATTTTTATTTTAAGAGAAATCAGTGATGTACGATCAATTATCTGCCAAAATATGCAGGTCAGATTCTGCACGAACGCCTCTTGGTGCATAGTACCTGTATAACAAATTTAATAACAAAATATCTAGTGGAAATACAGATATTAAAAAAATATTTATTTTTTAAAAATGTTGCCACTCCCTAGTTTCAAAATTTAAGACGTTTAGGACATACGTTCCTATAAAGTTATCTTCGTAAAAAGAACCGAAAAATCACAAATATTGATATTCAATTGAAAAATATTATATCATCTTCTTGTCTAGAACAAAATCATCACTGTATATACTGTATAATAATATGCTCCTATTACAACAAAATATTTATTATAATCCAGTTTTTCTTATAGGATACATATCGTCTTCAGAATATGGTTTTAAACTCGAGTGGTTTAGACAAATTCCCACTAAAAGACGCAGTTTGGAAACTCAACATGGGTGGCTACGATAAACTTCGAAAAATATCCTGTGCCGAGATGGAAATTAATATTCTTACTGTTAAGAAGCGTCAGAATAACTAACTTCTAAATATTCACTGGAGATTTTTAAAATAATAAACGATGTTTTCCACTCAATAATTTGTTTTTTGTTCGTTAAACTGTTTAGACATGAAAGTATTGCTAAAAAAATAGTAAACAAAATCAAGGGGCGCTAAATTAACAGTTTCCCGCTTATCAGTTTTAAGGCAAAGTCGTAGAGAAAAAGAAATGATTTGATTTTGATCAAAACACAAAAAAAAACGATGAGAAGTATTGTATCGAGATGTTAAATTTTCAGATTTGTTTAGCACTGGCGTTACTATGGCTAAACAACGTAGAAGCCCTTCATATTGCCTAGCTCTAGATTTTAAAAATTATTCCATGTCGCCCTTTGATGATGGTTAAGAATTTGTTTAAGGTTCAAACAATTTCTGTAAAAATATTTGGACCTTTCACTCCTTTAACCTGCTCAAGTAAAAATATATGGGCCATTTAACTTTTAAGTCTGTCCATGTAAAATTATTTGATTTCCCTGTTTCTTAGGCCTGTCCATATAAAAATATTTTATCTATTTGCTTCTTTAGCCTGTATATATCAAAATATGTGGTCCTTTTACATATCAAGCATGGACATATAAAAATATTTGGATATTCAATTAAATAATTAAATATTGTGTGCGGCTAAAAAAATAAAATAGATCATATCTACCCCTCAAGCATGCACATGTAATAGCATTTAAACTTTTCACCTCTTCAGCCTGCCCAAGTAGAAGTAATTTGTTCTTTTACTCCTTTTACCCCATGTGATATTTTTGTAAAGTAGAATTAGACGGTCATATTTTAACAGCGTAATCTACATCCTAAAATAGAAGTAAAAGTTTTTATAAACAAAGGTCCGAAAACGTTTCTTTTTCGAGATACAGGGTGTTAAAAGTGAAGTCCTGATGACACATTTTTGTAAATATTTTCTAAACGCTTAAAGATAACTAAATGAAATTTGGTACAAATGCTTACCTTTTTACGCTCTATGTAATGGACTAAATCTTAGTTTTTGATCATCTTCATAGATGGGTAAATTAGGGGGGGGGCTTAAGGTAAAATTACCCTAAGTTTTTTTGTTGTCAGTTTTTAACATTTTTGACTAAAAAATTTGGAAACCCAATGTTTTCTTTACAATAAAGCTACTCTCTCTGCATCTCGCTAGGACGCACCATTTTCAAGAGAAATGCATTTGAAAATTTTATGATAAATTGATATTATCTTATTCGAAAGTGCAAACAAAAATTAGTAGGCCTGGAATCCAATGGCTCCTTTTCAATTTTTTGAAGAAGGAGTATTCGAACTGTTTTCACCCTTTCAGAAATACCACGAGCAATAGTAAGTAATAATTACTTCCCTTTTTTTTTATACTATTTTGTGATTCTTAGTTTTTATTTCTCAAATTTACAAGTACACGTATTAGAAATTAAAAATTTAAACAAACCGACTTCAAAAACGTGCAGATGCCATCCCCACATCTTAACCAAATTTATATGGGACTTCCCCTGAGGTATCCCCTTACTAACAAAAAAAAATAATCATATAAATCGGACAAGGTGGTAAAGCATTATCGCTAAACATACATAAAAAATGAAGAGTTTGAGGATTTTCTCATGGACCCAATTATTAGATTTTGACCAAATTTATATGGGACCACTCCTGTAGTACCCCCTTTCTATAAAAAAATCATTGAAATCGGACACCGTGTTAAAGAATTATCGCTGAACATACATAAAAAAAAAATATCGCGACGAATTGAGAACCTTCTACTTTTTTGAAGTCGGTTAAAAATAACACAAACAAGTTTCAGATTAAAGGCATTTTTAAATTCTTACTTTAGTTTACGTGTCTTCTAAAAAATATGTTCATTTAGATTGGAAGAATATTAAGAATGCAGGGTATTCATCCCTATCATTATCAGCGTGTTCAAGCCTTAAGACCCCACGACTTTTTACGACTAATGGAGTTTAGTGAATGGATAAGAAACCATCAGGAACTGCTTCTTTTTATTATATGGAGCGACGAGGCTACATTTAATAGAGATGGTGTTTTTAATATTCACAATCACCATTTTTATTCACAAGAAAATCCTCGGGTGGTGCGACGTCCATTTTTTCAAGATAGATTTTCTATTATTGTTTGGGCGACAGATTAATTGGGCCGATTGAAATTCCTGCTCGGTTAAATGCAATTGAGTATCTGAATTTTTTACAAACCCACCTTGTACCCATTCTGGATAATCTCCCATTAAATATTCGACATCAGCTGCACTTTCAGCACGACGGAGCCCCAGCCCATTATGGCGTTAATGTGAGAAATTGGCTAAATGAAAGATTTCCGGGTAGATGGATAGGAAGAGGTGGTCCCATACCGTGGCCACCTCGATCTCCGGATTTAAATCCATTATATTATTACTTTTGGGGTCGTATAAAAGATATGGTATACGCTACAGAAGTTGACAGTGCGGAAGAGTTGCGTGAAAGGATACGTTTGGCAGGGAATGAAATATGGCAAAATAATTTTGAAGTAATGCGAGCTTCACATGCAATTACCCGTAGAGCCGAAATGTGCCTTCGTCAGCAAGGCAACGTTTTTGAACACTTACTTTAAATGTTGTATAAATTGATATTTTTAGTAGAATTTTTGTTATTTTTAGTAGAATTTTTGTTATTTTTAGTAGAATTTTTAGTAGTATAGACAAAAACAATTTTTGAGAATCATTTGTTTATCGTCATCATTTTGACCTATTTTAAGTCATCTTTAGGAAAATAAAAGCTTAAAATTATTATCAAATAGCATTTGCAATAATTAAAAGTAAGTAACTAATGATTTCTTCTCTAACTCAGTCAAACTTCATATTTTCAAGAAATTACCAGCTATTCTTAATTTCAAATACAGTTTTGCTATAATTTTACGATATTTAACGTATCTGACTTATTTTTACCATCCTAAGGATTACCCTAAAAGAGTTTAAACGTCGGCAGTTAAAGAAATAAATTCTCATCAATCATTTTATTGGGCAAAAGCCAACCAAACCATTAAAAAAAAACAATTGATTAGTTTAAGTTTAAATACTATTTAGTTTTACTATTTAAAGTTTCTTTATAAAATAAACATTAAATTAAAGCTAAATACATTTCTTTAGTCACCGGTTTTCCAAACCTGAAAAAAAATTCTGATTCCACAGGCCTGCTAATTATTGTTTGCACTTTCGAATAAAATAATATGAACTTATCATAAAATTTTAAAATGCTTTTTTCTTGAAAATGGTGCGTCCTAGCGAGATGCAACAAGAGTATCTTTATTGTAAAGAAAATAGTGGGTTTCCAAATTTTTTGTCAAAAATGTTAAAAACTGACAACAAAAAAACTTTTTACCTTAAGCCCCCCCCCTAATTTACCCATCTATGAAGATGATCAAAAACTGATATTAAGTCCATTACATAGAGCGTAAAAAGGTAAGCATTTGTACTAAATTTAATTTAGTTATCTTTAAGCGTTTAGAAAATATTTACAAAAATGTGTCATCAGGACTTCACTTTAAACACCCTGTATCTCGGAAAAGAAACGTTTTCGGACCTATGTTTATATGAACTTTTACTCCTATTTTAGGATTTATATTACGCTGTTAAAATATGACCGTCTAATTTCGGGACACCCTGTATATTAAATTTAAAATAAAATATAGTAAATGCAATTAAATTTCCAATGCACATCTTATGATGGGCTTGTGCTCATGAACGTAGGTGTTGCCACGTTGCTACAAAATTCAAAGATCTAAAAAATCGTTTTATTAAAAACTAATTTTTAATTTAAACTCCATCTTTTGATACTTTAAATAACTAATTTATTTAACCTATATATACAATTTTAGAAGCTTTCGCCAGTTGTCCTCTTAATATAAATAAAATAAACATAATCAAGTAAAGCTTTATTTAGAATAGGAATCATTATCTCTATCAACATTAAAATCAATAATTACAGTTAAAATATCCTCCCGTTTAAATATAACTTCACGGTCCCAACATTTCTGAATAATTTTTTTAAAACGACTGATAAAATAGACCAGATTTGGGGAGTTACAGCCTCTAGTGCTTACCGCCGTCTTAAACAATTTTGAACTGAGTTGCTATCCTTACCAATATGTATATTTGTAAAGTAAGAAATAAAGAGGACGAACTAAAATAGCAGGAGGAAAAACTGAGAAGCAACTACAGGAGTGGAAAAAACATAGAAAGCAGAAGCAGATAAGTAGATAAGCAGAGAAGCAGAGCGAGAAAACACAGGCAGACCAAACAAGAGTGAAGCAGGAGCAGAAAAAGAATAGACCATATTTTTTTAAGTAAATTAAATTATTTCATTGTGTAATAGGGTTTTAATATTTTTCGACCAACAACCATAAAGAACTGTAAGAGACTTTTACCAACAAGATTGCGACTGCGGACTGCCACAGGTGAAAGTGCCAACATCCATGGGGAAATCCAGGTTCAATTGGGAATTGATACAAAAAAGTTAACTCACGCTGTTATTGACGCTGACATCGAAGAAGGTGTTATTCTTGGAATGGATGTAATGAAGTTACATGGTTTCCAGTTGGACTTTAAAAACAGAGTGATCAAAGTTGGTGCCAAAGAGGTATTCCTACATCCATATGAAGACAGTACCGTGCCAGTTGCTGTACAGGAGGATATGATGGTACCTGGCAGAAGTAAAACCGTTATAGTAGCACGGCTTCAAGAAATTATGGAAGAAGGAACACCTGTAATGATGGAACCTTGATGGATGAAGAGGTTGGACGAGGCATTCTAAACGGAAAGGGGTTGGTCACGACTGCTAAAGAAATTCCAGTCCGTCTTATAAACGTTAATTATCACCTAATTACCATCAAGAAAGAGACCAGAATCGGAACTTGTGTACCAGTAACTTCCATAATTCGTCAGACAACAACTTCTGATAATTCCAACGACAAATTCGAGCAACCGATTGTAGTTGTGGGTCAATCTTTGAATCAATTAGAGAAGAAGAA